CTCTAAGTTGCAGTTCTCTTGCAGCCTGAAAATGCTAACCTACATTTTTTATTTGTCGTCACCAAACTCACCATATTTTCTAACTCAAGTTAAAACGAGGGCATTTTCACAACTAGAATGTGTGATACTCAATTGTATCTAGCTGGTCAAAACTGACTGGACATCAGAAAAGACCTCTGGCAACTGGACTGTACAGACAACGGCTCTCCTGTGGCCAGTTCTGCTTCACCACCATCGGCTTCATGAAACGTTTGAGGATCAGTTGTATGGTACATATACACAGGGAAATATCACTGTGGGCAGGGTACAGGAAGCAGCATGGCGGAGAGGAGAGGCACAAAGTACCTTATGCCTTTTTTTTTTTAAGATTTATTTGGGGGGGGGAGGAGAGGGAACTAGCAGGGGGAGGAGCAGACAGAGACGACAAGCACAAGCAGACTCTGTGCTGAGCACAGAGCCCGACCTGGGGCTCAATCCCAGGACCCTGAGAGCATGACCTGAGCTGAAACCAAGAGTTGAATGCTTACCTGACTGAGCCCCCCGGACGCCCTGACCTTACTTCTTTTTGAAACCATTCTTTTGCATTACTTTCCTCAAATCCTAACCTGGCATACCCACTGTGGCTCTGCAAACCTGTTGTCCGTAGGTCTCAAGTTTAGTCTAGATAAAAGTTTTTCATGTGGCCAGTGAGGCACTGGATCAGACTCTTAAGCCTGTTCCAGCCCCCATAATCTATCTATCATTGGGCAAGGGGTCCCTGTTGTTCTACTGCAACTTCTCACCTGGATAGTAAGTAGAAATCTTTAAAGCTTTCCTGAAAACAAGGAGTTAAAATTAGAATAGCATACCTTTTGAACTAAAGAGTATTCATGGCAAACACTCCATTAATTTCTGATTTGTAAGCGTGCTAGCAGACAAACAGATTTAAAAACTCTCCATGATCTAGGTTCTGCTTAAGAAAACATCTTTTGCACATATATCCAATTATATACACACATATACATATATCCATTCACCTCTCAGGAAGGGGGTAAATCTGTAGAATAAATCTGTATAGACTGCTCCTGATGCAATCATTAAAGCATGTGTCCTACACCTCAGGACATTTTGTTCCATCTCATTTATTCTTTTTAACCAAAATTCATGACAGAGGAATGCAAGGGAACAAGGAATGAGGACACAATGAGCAAGAGCAAAGAAAGCTCTCTTATCTTACTCCATCAACAAGGTATATGAGGAAATAATTAAAAAAAAATATAGGGGTGCCTGGTTGGCTCAGTCAGTTAGTAAAGCACAGGACTCTTGATCTCAGGGTTGTGAGTTCAAGCCCCATGCTGGGAGTGGAGATTACTGAAAAAATAGTAATAATAAATAAAAAAGATAATAGAAACCCAGAAAGTTCTTGATTCAAGATCTTTTTTTAAAAAAAAGATTTTATTTCTTCATGGGAGAGAGAGAGAGAGAGAGAGAGAGAGAGAGAGAGAGGCCGAGACATAGGCAGAGGGAGAAGCAGGCTCCATGCAGGGAGCCCGATGCAGGACTCGATCCCAGGACCCCGGGATCACCACCTGAGCCAAAGGCAGAGGCTCAAACGCTGAGCCACCCAGGCGTCCCTTGATTCAAGATCCTCATTAAGGTAAGAAATTGGTGAGAGGAGAGATGAAAGGTGCCAAGTAGGAGAGTACCAGAACCCAGGGAAGAAACATGCAATATTACTTTCATCAAGCACTATGCTATGCTGTCCAACAGCTACCAAAGCACAATATGTAAGCAATTGCCCAGGACCACACAGCTAAAAATCACCAGGGCTAGGGTTCTAGCTCATCATTTGGTCTTAATAATACTATAAATCAATCAGTTCTAATAAAAATTTTGAGTAATAACTTAATATTATTTAATATTAAGACCCAATTTAAATGTCCCGGGTTGTCCTAGAAATGCCTTTATGGTGGTTCTCTTCCATGCAAGATCCAATCTAAGTCTACACACTACTTATGGTTAGAATCTATTTCCTTAACTCCTGTTTCTCAGTGAAAAAAATCAACATTTTAAAATATACTCGGATGGGCGCCTGGCTAGCTCAGTCCATAGAGCATGCTATTCTTGATCTCCAGGATTATGAATTGGAGCCACACATTGGGTGTAGAGATTATTTGAAAATAAAATCTTTTAAAAGAATACATTTGGAAGCCCACTTTAGCAAGAAAGACATTTCAATCTTACTCATAAAATGTGACTGAGAGAACTTTAAATATCTGTATGAAACACACTCAAGTGTTACTAAATGATTTTTAAAATTCTGGAATAGCATTAGTTTAGAAAAATCTCTGTATCCCTTCAACAGGCTGTAAAAAGAATCCAGATATTCAGTTAATAGGGAGTGCAAAGTAGGTAGAACGGTTATTCTACCTGAGGAGGTGAGAAGGTACAGAACCTCATTTCTGATCGGAAGAGGGAGCCACTAAAATTTTCTTCCTTATGCTTTATTCTCCTTTGCAAAAGCACAGCAGTGGGATATCTGAGTGGCTCAGGTAGTGATTCTGGGCCCAGGGATCGGGTCCCACATCAGTCTCCTTGCGAGGAGCCTGCTTCTCTATGTCTCTGCCTCTGTGTGTGTCTCTCATGAATAAATAAATGAAAATCTAAAAAAAAAAAAAAAAAAAGAAAAGAAAAAGAGAAAGAAAGAAAGAAAGAAAGAAAGAAAGAAAGAAAGAAGAAAGGAAAAAAAGCACAGCAGAGGCTGTGAGCAAGAAGTTTGCAAGAACACAAGGAAAACTTTCCTCTGATCAGTTCTAGGAGGAAGGGTTTCTCTTTCTAGGAGAAAAAGCTTAAATAAAGATCTTCTGGTGAGAATTTGGATACCAGCCCTCAAACAGCCCTCCATAGCTGGCAGTGCTGGCAGGAAATCCCACTGTTCCAAGAATGGCAGGGAAAATAAGCCTGGCATATCACTCTATCGACTCAGTTCATAAAAGTAATTCCAGGTCAAAAAAAAAAATCACAGAAATCACAGAGCTTTTTATGCCTCACACTTAAGATTTTAACTTTTTCCAGACAGTATGCAACGTTTCCACTGGGGGAAAAAAAAAAGGCAGAATATAAGTTGTACAGTGATTTGGAGTTTCTGAGTATTTTCACATCCCTTATCCAGTTTTATGTTCTCAAGAACCCGACCAGATAGGGCATGATCATTAAACCCATCTCATAGAAACCGAGGTCCACTGGGGTTGGACGTCTTGGGATCCCTTGGTTAGAAAGCCTCCTTCTGCTGATGCCCTAGCAGGGCAGCACTCTTCCTGGACACTGCAATTCTCTTCTTTTCCCCATTTAGTCAAAGCTTAACTCAAAGTAACACTGGAAAAAGTATAGGATGCTCATCTTAGGAACAAAGGTTAAGCCGCCGTATATCAAAGTATTTGATGGGAAAGGCTGGCTCTCAGAAACCTATCTACTAAAGAAAAAAGAAATGTAAAATAATAGTAAAAATAAAAATAGAAATAAGAAATAGAAAAGTAGGCTCTCTTCCTGGAAAATCCACTTAACAAACCATTCCTATTACTACATAATGCAATTCCTATTATTACATAATGTAACACTATAATGAACGTTAGGTAATCATCAGTATTTTTAAAAATATGAATGAGTGTAATCGCTTTATTCTTAATTATTCTATAGAATTTTATCTTAGCTGTATCTAAGGATTAGGAAGGCTCGTTATCCAAAGCAGAAAACATTAGTTAAAAAAGGTAACCTTCAAAGCCAGAGAAACTTAACTGCAGGGACTAAGAACAGATCCTCAAATTACTATTTGCTCAGATTTTCCCAACACATTAATCTGATAAGTCAGTCCACATTACTGAACCATCTACTTGATTAATCACAATCCTAGTTAAGTACGAGAAACTTCCTATTTGGAAAAAATCAGGAGCCAAGATTCTTTCCAAATTTACTGTATCACGTGAGAGACTGAATTACATTTCTCACGGTATATTACTCTGTAAAATTAGAAGTAAACAGTATTGGCAACAAAGTCCAGGCCTTAAAAGTCAGTCCTTTTTATACTGGCAAAAACTCAGTTGCCTTCACGCAGTTTCCTTTGGATGGTTAAAGGACTGATTTTCTCCTTAGCTGTCATCACTTTGCCTCTTTTCCACTTTACTGGGGAGGAAAAAACAAACAAACAAACAAACAAACAAACAAACAAAAAACAACAATCGCAGCCCTACACCTATCTAGCCTTTAAACCCGCAACACAGAAAAATTACAAAAAAATTATTGAAAACGGCTTCGAAGTCATACTAAAAAACATTCTGAAATACAAGCAGGCGTCTCAAGATTCGAGGTGAAGAGGAAACACAGGTAGCGTGTCTTCAGGCCTTTCGCCCGCCAACGCTCTTTTGTTTGTAACTGGAAGGGAGGTGGAACAGGAGGCGGTACGGCCCCAGGAACGCACGCCTCTACTCTGGCTGGCAGGATGCTCGTATACTAAAAACATGGGAGGTTTGATGCCCTTCCCGCTGGGGCTGAAGGTCCTCAGCACGAGACCCCCAAAAGGCGAGGGGGCCCGCGCGAGGGGCGGCGAGGGGCAGCGGCGCGCACCTGCAGCGCACCTGCGGCGCACCTGCGCTCCCACAGCGCCTCCCGCTGGCGCCTCCGAGGCCCGCAGCCGGCCCGCCACCGCACAGCTGGGCGCACAGCTGCAGGGCAGGTGCAGCGAGCCCCGCCCGACCCCGCGCACCTGGCGGGGTACAGCCCGGAAGCCCCGCGGGGGCGAGGGTCCTCCCGCCGCCCCGGGGTCCCCCGCCCCGCCGTCCTCTGCCCCGCCGCCCCGGGGTCCCCCGCCCCGCCGTCCGCCCCGCCGTCCTCTGCCCCGCCGCCCCGCGGTCCCCCGCCGCCCCGCGACTCCCCGCCGCGCCCTTGTGGCTCCGCGCCCCGGGCGCACGGCCGCGACCTCCGGGAGCCCTCGGTGGTTCCGGGGGTCCGGCCCGGGGTCTCGTCACCTCATGAGGTAGTCCCGAAAGTCCTTGCTCCGGACATAGTCCGCCGCCTTCCGCACCAGCGCGCCCGCCATGGCCGTGCCCGCCGCCAGGCCGCCCCAGCGCCCTCGCCTCCGCTCCCCGGAACCCAATGACACCCAGCGCAGCGGACGGCGCGGACACCGCTCCCGCCCGCGGGCCCGCCTCACGACAGCCGGCTCCGCCTTACGGCCGCGCCGGCCTTCGGCCTATGGGAGGACGCGGGAGGGCAGGCGGCGGCGCGGATTGGCTGGCGCGAGCCGCACACCTCCTCCCCGCCCCTCTGCGGCGCTCGGGGGCGGGGCCTGCTGCCGTAAACCGTCCGGGGCCCGGCGGGGATTGGCTGGCGGTCTCCCGGCGCGGGTGACGGTCCCGGGCTCGGCGGGCAAGCGGTCGGGTGAGTTCGTGCGGCCCCCGGGGCGCGCGGGAGCGTCCCCGCAAGGGCACCTTGGCCGGGCCGCGAGCGCACCCGCAGTGCCGGCGTGGGCGGCCCGCGGTGCCCCCGGTGCGCACCGGGAGGGCGGCCGGGGGGCTTGGGTGGTCGACGGGCACCGTGCACACTCCCCGACCCGGCCCGTCCTGCTGGGGTAGCCGCAGGTGCCCAGCTCGGGTAGCCGCAGGTGCCCAGCTCGGGTAGCCGCAGGTGCACAGCTCGGGTAGCCGCAGGTGCCCAGCTCGGGTAGCCGCAGGTGCACAGCGCTAACGCGTCCACCCCAGGGAGGGTTAGATCACGCCGCGTGCATCGCACCGGAGCCGGGAGGGGGCCCTGCGTGTGCTGCCGGGGAAAGCTCTTTAGAATGGGGAGGAAGAATCCAGGTGCGGGCCGCCTGCGTGTCCCCGCCGGCTAACCCTCTGACACCGGGAGTTGGGCTCAGGTCACGATGGGGGCTCCTGAGGTCAAGCCCAAGGTGGGGCCTCGCTGCGCAGCTGGACTTGCTGGAGATTCTCGCCCTCTGCCCTTGCGTGTCCGTGCGTTCTCTTGCAAATATAAATAAGCCTTTAAAAAAAGAAAAATTAAGGTGCAGAGTCGTGTGTGCTACTCGTTTGTGCACAGGGACAGGAAAAGTCTATCAGTTTGTTTCCAAAGATAAAAGGGAAGTGTTAGCAGTGGCTGCCTCCAAAGACGGCTAAGTGCAGAGGGGTGGAGGGAAGCGGACCTTTTCACCGTATGCTTTATTTGTTCCCGTTGACATTTGTACAACGAAAATAGGCTATCTATCCGAAATAAATAAAAATGCCTTTGAGAAGTAAAATAGCAAATCTTTGAATCATTTTCTGTTAAGGACCTCCATGGGTCACACCTGACTTGGATCTCATTTGAAAGACTGACTAGGGGACATTGCAATCCCATAGTAACACAGGGAAGTGGGCTGTGTTAACCTGGTGCTTCATGGTGCAGGTAGGAGCTTAGAAAAAACAAGGGGGGGTAGGCATCCCTGGTGGCTCAGCGGTTTTGTGGCTGCCTTTGGCCCAGGGCCTGATCCTAGAGACCTGGGATCCCAGGTCGGGCTCCCTGCATGGAGCCTGCTTCTCTCTCTACCTCTCTCTCTCTATCTCTCATGAATAAGTAAATAAAAAATCTTAAAAAAAAAAAAAAAGAGGGGCAGCCCCCGTGGCTCAGTGGCTTAGCACCGCCTACAGCCTAGGGTGTGATCCTGGAGACCCAGGATCGAGTCCCACGTAGGGCTCCCTGCGTGGAGCCTGCTTCTCCCTCTGCCTGTGTCTCTGCCCCCCCCCCCTGTGTCTCTCATGAATAAATAAATAAAATCTTTAAAAAAATAGAGAGAGAGAAAAAACAAGGGGGTCTTCATGATTAATAGTTTATCATTAATAGTGCTAAAAACCACAAGCTCACGGTGGAGTTACCTGCCTTCAGTCCTGCAAACCAAGACTTAATGGTGGTTTCAAACTTGGCAGGAGCGGAACTTTAAGCCAGTCAATCTGGAATTTTCCAATCTATATCCATGAGGTAATCTGTCACTAGGGCCCTCTCCATCCACCTCCACCCCCAAAGGAGATGAGGTCATCTGCATGATGAGACCCCTTCCCCTTCCTGAAACAAATCTTTTCTTTTGCTGATAACTGCTTGACCCACCATTGTTCCTATCAAAACCTTCCATTTTGTACGACTCCTTGGAGAATCTCTACTTGCTAGGTGGAATGCTACCCCATTCACAAATCCCTCCAATTAGGGCTTTAAAATTTACTGGTTGAATTTTATTTCTTGGGGATAGCTACCATTTGTTAACCAGTAGGCACTTTTTGTACAATAATTCTCATAACCCAGAAGGGGTGTTTTTAAAGAAACTGAATGTCTCCTTGAATAGAACCAAACTGCCTCTGCAAGATTGATGGGGAAGGGAGCCTCCCCAACATCCATTGTGAGAAGGGGCTCCCGGATCTCATGGCGGATCAGCCTTATCCCCTGGTATTTTCCTTTTCCTCATGAACAGTGATCAGAGGAAGTGTCTGCGGATTCCCAGACTGCTAACCTTAGAGCTTCAAGACACTGGAAGCTGGTTAGTGACAGCACTTGGAGAAACTCTCCTGAGGGCTGCCCCCAGTTACTGGTGTCACCACCAGACCAGCTTCTGATGATTCTGCTTTCCACATCTGGCCTTGGTTGGACCTTAAACCTTTCTGTTAGTTCCTACTGCATGGAGAAGTATGAGCTAGAGAAAAGGAACATATAAAGGGAAAATTGTCTGGTTAAGCAGCTAACCTGGGATGTGAATCTGGTTCTCTTTTAATCTGAGAGCCATGCTTTCCCCACTATTTCATGTTAGCACAATTAGAAGGACTTCTTCCATGTTAATATGTATATTTGCTACTTTAAATATGGAGCAGGTGTGCCTGGCTGTCCTCAGCATCTGACTTCAACTCAGGTCATGAGCTCAGGGTCCTGGGATCCTGCCCTGGAGTGTGTGTGTGGGGGGCTTCCTCCTCAGCAGGGAGCCTGCTCCTCCTTCTGCCCTTTCCCCAACTTGTGCTCTTGTTTTTTCTCAAATAAATGAATAAAGCCTTTAAGTATGAAGCAGGCTATGTGATCTCATGTATAAGAGAATATAAAACCTTAGAAAGACCTAAAAACCCAACATGACCCCTATGCGGACAAAGTATAGAAGGTAAAAATGCAAACATTGCTGGCTACCTTGAGTCCCAGGTGTGTGGAAGAAAGAATCTCACACGTCCATCCAAGTTCGGAAATGACAATCACACACAGGGGTGTACTCTGCTTCCCTGTTGACTGTTAGGAGCAGGATCTGTGAGCTCAGATTGCTGAAGTCAGAGTGGGGGAAGCTGGCCCTGCTGCAGAGCACCCATATGCACCAACGTTTTGTAGGCACTGACATACACTGTGTGTCCAGGCAGTGCTTGTGTTTGTAGGATGGTCAGCGATCCACAAGTTGGGTGTCCCGTGGAGGGGCTCATGGCAGGCAGGTCTGTGATGCCTCACATGCATGGCTGAAGAAATCTATGTGGCAGTAAACTAGCTATATTTTTTCACCTATCAAAATAGCAAAAAAAAAAAAAAAAAAAAAAAAAAAAGGAAAAGAGGAAACAGTAGTTGTGCTTATGAACTAACACACTTAATTCCACAGGGTTTCTTCTGAACATGGGGATAATATTGATCATTTTGTCCATGTGGGAGGGCTACTGTGATGAGAAGAGGCAACTTTTGAGGAGTACTTAATGGATGAGGAAGTGTTTTATAGACATAGATGTGTTGTTTTGTCCTGCTACCTACTTTTATTCCAGCCCAACACCTGCCTTTCTTTGGTTCCAGTTAGGTAGGCACATGTTAGTGTGACTGCATTAGTAATTTAAAGAATGTAGTAAATAAGTAAGCTGAGAAACTCTGGAATTTTGTGAGAGGCAGGACACTTGCGGTCAGAGGCCAGGGATATGAATTGTACCATCTTGCCATGGTAGCTAGTTCTTCAGTCCTACTTGTCATTAATCCGTTGTGCTGCTCCCAAGGCTTGGTGAATGCTTTCAGATTGGCAGCCCCTGCCCCCATCTACTTTTTTCCTGGCTTGCTGTTTTCATACAGTTCCCACAGAAGTCACAAAGAAACCGTTTCACAAGCAAGGGCAATTCACTTTGCCTGGCAATTCAGAAATCTCCTAGCAAATTATGGTGAAGGATAAAGGAAACCAAGGCATCACAATTTTGCAAAGGAAACCAAGGCATCAGTATTTTGCATTCCCTGTGGGCTTACCTGCCAGCCTCTTCCTTTTGCTACAGCTCACTTGGTTTGTTTTTTAATCAGGGGGTGTGTAAATGTTGCGCCACCTTTAATCCTCCAAGCATTATTTACTCTGAGGAGGAAGGGCTGAGATGTTATCCTGTTCATCTCTGCCCTTGGAGGAAGGTCAGAGGTATCCCAGCTCTTTCCACGGCCTCATCTCAACTTCTACACAATTTTCTGCTGAAAACCAAGTTGGGAGGGATCCTTGGGTGGCACAGCGGTTTAGCGCCTGCCTTTGGCCCAGGGTGCGATCCTGGAGACCCGGGATCGAATCCCACATCGGGCTCCCTGCATGGAGCCTGCTTCTCCCTCTGCCTATGTCTCTGCCTCTCTCTCTCTCTCTCTCTGTGTGACTATCATGAATAAATAAATAAAATCTTTAAAAAAAAAAAAAAGAAAACCAAGTTGGGGGAGCATATGACAGGGGACTTAGGCTGCCTCCATCTTGACCTCAAACTCTCCAGCTGGGCTCTTCTTTCCAGCTGGTGTCTTGGCTCAGGGGGAAGACCTTATGGGCAAAGCATCCCCTCAAGGGAACAAAACTACCCCCCAAGCAACAAGGATTGCCCTGAGCCAGCAAGACCCCACTGGCGATGGACTCCGAGACAATGATCAGTTTGACCTTTACCGCACACCTGCACACAACCACCTACTTTTGCCCCACATTTTCCTTATATAAACCTGGAAATTTTTTTGAAATATTTTATTTATTTATTCATGAGAGATACACACAGAGAGAGGCAGAGACATAGGCAGAGGGAGAAACAGGCTCCATGCAGGGAGCCCAATGCGGAACTCGATTCT